GTTGAAAAGAAGGATTAAGTCGCGTATAAAATGATGAAATGCTCGCCAGCGGTAGTCGCTGATGACGCGCTGACGACGCCGTCGTCACTTACACGGCCAAGCACCCTTGGATAAAGTACTGACTGACAGACGATGTCAATTGAATAGGCGTCTTTTTTCACTCTGTATAAGCCGAATATCATTTCGAAAGGCGTTATGAGTAGATACGTAAGTCCACATCAAGAAGAACGTATGTCTACATCGTACATTATTACGGATATAGTATTTATTGTGTTTATAAATGGGTATTCCTTGAAAAAATCAGATTATTGTGGAAATTCAATATTCTATATTTATTTGCACTAAATTTTAAGTGTTTTTTATTATTTTTTGCGAGCAATTCATTTTAGAAATTGTTGTTGTCCATCTCATTACCGTGATGAAAAATGGAAAAGGAGTATTAACAATCATATATAACATATGTTTCAAAGCAATTTGTGGTTCGACCTAATTTGTTAATTTTATTCTAACCCTGTATATACATGTTTGAAATTCAAGAACAGCAATTCGACGAGTGACTTCCATCGTCCCCGTTTCTTTGCGTCGTTGGTTTATTAAAAAACAAAATCGGTTCCCAGATTGATTTACGGAGCCGTCGATAGCAGTTGTCATGGCTGCGAAATTCATAATCGCGTATTGTGTTTCTCAATTCAAAATTGGATATCAGCACGACAGCGGCAAACTGTACCGGGCCCTTCTAATGGATACAGTAAACTTATCGTGAAAAGTCCTTGATATTGGTGTGAGGGCGACATGCGGTTAGAATTCCATTATGAAAATTTATATTCCGTCGAGGATTGAATTAAAATTTATTGTGAACCACATGTCTTGGCATCAACGAACATTACCAAAAGAAAAAAAGAACAGCATTAGTAGATGTCACGTTAAGAAGGTGGGGAAGCACTGCAGAATTGTATCAATTCATTTTCAAATTGTGGTGACTTGTATTATTTAAAAGAAGCGCCTGTTTTCATGAAGGCCGAACAAGAAGTTCGTGAAAGCTCCACGCTTCCCATGACTGGTAATACGTGTTTTTTTTATTAATAACAAAACACTACTGTATGAAAATAAACAAAAGCAAAACAAAAATATACTGGTATTCAAGGCAAGAAAAAGTAGGGAAAGAGCGAATATTAAGATAGAAGACGAAAAATTAGAAGAAGTGGTTGATTTTAGGTATTTAGGAAGTCAGATAAGTCAGGACGGAAGGAGTAGTAAGGATATAAAGCAGAGCGTAATTTAGAATTTCGATAAAGTTTGGAGCGCGGTACTGTACGGGTGCGAAACATGGACGGTGGACGTTGTAGAAAAGCAAAGGTTAGAAGTGTTCGAAATATGGTGTTACAGGCGAATGATGAGGATACCGTGGATAGAGAAGGTTAGAAATGAAGAGGTATTGGAAAGAATAGGAGAACAGAGGACTCTATGGAAGTCAACAAGAAATAGGCGAGATAGGTTGGTAAGGATACCTTCCTAAGTATGAAGGTTTAGTCAAAGACATATTAGAAGGAGAAACGGGAGTTAGTTAGATCTACATTAGATTACTGTTCGCAAATAGTTAAGTGGGTTGTTCTTGTTTTAGGGAAATGCGAAGATTAACTCAGGATAGAAAAGAGCGGAGGCACGTGTCCAACCAGTCTTTTGGAATTTGCTTTTAATTTAAATTGGTTACCCATGGTGTAAATAAATTGTTTTCAAGAAGTTGCCCTAGGAATTTATAGTAAAACAATTCGCGACTTATTCAACTCTACAATATCTTGTCTAAAACGTTATTTTAACCTTTCTCTATTTTATTTGTCCAAGAAATGGTTGGTACTCTTTTCATATCTATCCCAGTATGGCACCACCGCCCATCCACCCACACACTTTTAGTCGTTGTTACATTTCCATGACCGAAATTTAAAGTCCCGGCACGTTCGGCACACCCTTGCCACGCTGCTGTCTAAAATTCGCGACGCATAAATGTGTCCGAACTATTTTTCATCCCTTTTTTTTCACTGTGCGCTATTATTTTGTCGCGGTAAGGTCGTAATGGCCTTCGTATAACACACACACACACACACAGATACACATATGGATCGGCCACCACCGTTGCGAAATGGACACCGAAATTGCTTTTTTTCGTCCCATATACAAGACCGCCATCACCACCATCTACAACTAAACGACTTTCACTGTGTAAAGCCATTTATATTTTGAGAACTACTGGAAAAAATCATTTCAGACAACCGTTGGTGCTAATAGAAGGGGTCGAATCTTGCATTACATGCATGAAGTTAATGAGGTTTCTCATGAAATTCACTGGGGCAGTTTTTAACATCTTAAAAATAGTATCGGAAAGAAGTTTCCAATTTTCGATACCTAAAAATTCATATAGCTTAGGATGTGGTAGGCATAGTCGAAAAAGATCATTAAAAGTTTATGTTTAGAGCACGGCTTTGTATAAGTGAGAAACATGGACGGTGAGTGTTTAGAAGCGTTTGAGACAGGCGGATTGTCAAAATATTGAGGAAGTCTTGAAAAATGCAGAAGTTAATAAGAAAAAGGCGAGATAGGATGGTAGGACGCCTGTAAAGACGAAGGTTTAGGTAGAGAGATATTACTTAGAAGCAGAAACATCAGGACCAAAGAGCTGTACCTTAAAGAAGATTAGATAAGATTGTGTTTTTTAGTAGTTGCAAATATGAGAGGCCTAGTTTTCTGGAAATAAATTGATTGGTTCAGGACAGAAAGGGGTAGGAGTGCTTGTCTAACCAGTCATGATGACAACCAATTAGGTATCAAAATTGGTTTATTAGAAAACTGTTCTTTTAAATTGTTAGGTGTATCTAACAAGAAAGGAGTATTATAATTTAACCCTAAATGAATGAAGTGCTAACTAATAGTATTTAGCAATCTTCCCTGATCCTTTTGCACCGTAATAATAAGGAACAAAGAAGTGCATGGTGGTCTGTTCTGTCAAAATTGCCAGGCGCGGATCGCGATGTTGATCTTGTTGGATCTCATCAGCGCGTCGTAGACAGAAGCAGAAGCTTCGAACTTGTTGAACGTATTGAATTCCACTAAATGTAGCAACTACGGATGGTGTTTACCGCGCCGTTTGTAGGACTTATTAATAAGACTTAACCTAGCGCATCCACCAACTATTTTTTGACGGTCTGGTGTAATCATGATGAAGTATGTTAATATCTATAATCTAAATAATTATAGAAGTATCATCAAAGCAATTTGTGGTTCGACCTAATTTGTTAAGAATATATAGTTAATTCGGCTAAAGTATCAGAGGATTGTTTTGTCAAAAACTGTACAATTTATTACACCCAAAAGGTCTCAATTTCAAACTGTCAATCGCAGCCATCGTAATGTGTCGAATATTATTTAATGCCGTATGGGTTAAATTTGACCCGTCAAAAAGAGTTAAAATGAAGAGACACATATTAAGTTGTTGTGAAAGCTCGATGTGCCTTGGTGTGGCATAGAGTTACTTTTGCCGTGGAGGGTTGGAGGACAAGTTACGAAAGAATGACAGTTTGTTAATTTAAAAGGCACCGTACGATGTTAGACGTTTGACACGAAACGAAGGGGTGAATTTACTGACGGATGCTGTACACGCCCTTCTTGAAAGTGAAGAAGGATTGAAACCCTTAAAATTTGAAGCAATAATTATCAACAAAATAATTTGATCGAGATATTTTGCGGCATTTACAAAGATTTATCAGAAATATTTTAGTTATTCTCATGATTAAAGAACCTGTATTATGGATGTTCAATATCAGAAAATTGAGGGTGGAATACTGTAATGACAGCTCAATTACAAATGGGGCACAATGTGTTCAATAATTTCTAAATTTTATTTGAATTTCCTGGTCTTGAGTAAAAATACATTCTCTGTATTTAACGAGGGATGTTAGTAAATTATTTTGAAATTAATTTTGTGTTACAGTTTATGATTAATAAAGATTGATATTTCACTTTATTTAGAAAACATTTACAAGTATTTATTTTATGCTTTAGTTCTAAAAGTTTGTGATTTTTCCAAATCGTATAGGTACAGGTATAAAATATAGTAGTGGATTAAGGGATGTCTACATATCTTCTAAAATAATATATACGTTTGGTTCATTAGTTGGCTTGATTTACGATCTGGAAAACTATAGGTATTGTGAGTTGAATTTGATGAACCAGTTGCCTTTCTGTAATTCTTATCATTAATTCATCGGACGACGTTGTGGGACGTCCGTTCAGGACATGAAATCAAATTTTATAATGACCTATCACGGGACAATGGTTCCTTCATCCGATATAGTCTCTCGATCGTGGATGATTGTCGACATGGCCATTGTTCTTTACCAGTAATTTAACGTCATCGATTTTCTCGGATGTAGCAGTAGATTTCGTTTCGTAACGACCGTAATAGTCGGACTACGAGCTGCAGAAACGGAAATGGTTGCTGGTTCCGGTTTGCAAAAGTGTACTTCAGACAGCGAAATTCTTTTTCTCGATGTATTTATACGTGCATATTTATTGACCCCATTACTTCCTTCCTGGCCAGGAGCTTTGCAGAAAGACTCGCTTTTAACTTGCCGAACGTTACGTATACGTGCTTTTCTGCGTTACCATCGTGTTTACGAACGTAAAAGTAACAATACAAGCAATAGAACGAAATCAAAATCGATACAAAACTTCTAAATTTAATAAAAATGAAGGCGAAACTCAACACGTTTTCTTCTGCGTTTGATCGTTAGATATGATGAAGGTTGTTGGAACAGCAGGATGAAGAATAGGTGCACAGGTATAATAATTATTTTTTCCCGAATGTAGCTGTTAAAGGTGTAAGATTTATATGTATTTACGTAAGGAGTTATTTGGCTTCTTCCATTCCTTCACGATCCCAGAATTATCATTCATGTCACTTAAGGTTGTTGTTGCTCACAGACTCAGTATGAATATTTTTGTTACAGAACCGAGTAACTACGTTTGTTCCACGTGCAAACTCCGCATGCATTCAGCTTGGAGACTTATGCAGCATGTGCAGCACGCTCACGGTGTAAAAATATACGTTGAGTCTTCGTCAGGTGGTAGCAGCAAAACTAGTAATAATCATAGTTCGAGCAGTTCTAGTAGCACTTCTTCTGGTTGTTCGTCAGGTGGTCCGCCACCTCCTCCCAACGCGTTTAAGCATCATCTGCTTCCTCCACCTGATTTTCAAAACCCTTTCAGCGTTGGCGGTTTATTGCGTCTCCCTCTACCGCCCCTTAATCACGGTCCCGTTCCTCCCACACCTCTCTTTCCGCGACCTGAACATCATTTTCGAATGGAACAACTAGTCAACGAGCAGTTCCGTCACCACGGACTAAATCTGGCCGCTGCAGCAGCCGCAGTTGCTGCAAGCGGTGGCCTACCAGCGACTCATGGCAGTTTTCCTTCTCCCGCCGAACGTCCACCCACAGTTCCTACGGTCTCGGCAAGGGATCGCAGTACACCAAGTCAACCGTTATCATTGGAGCCCCATATGGATTTTTACTCGCAGCGGTTGCGGCAGCTGGCTGGAACTACTAGTCCCGGAACAGCTCAGACAGGATCTCCGTCTCCTCGCAAACATTCACCATCGTTTGCAAGTCCTTCGCCGTCTCAACTTCCCACCACTGGCATCACGAATTCCAACAACGTTAGCAGCAGTAGTAGCATCAATAACAACAATAATAATAACAACAACAACAACAACAATAATAACAGCAGCAACAGTGGAACAACGGGAAGTCCGGAACACAGTGTTACCCCTCCGGTTAAAAACGACGAAGAGCCGCAACCGCTGACAGTCACTCCAAGATCGTCATCTACACCTCCAACAAGTAAACCAATGTCTCCAAAAAACTTAAGCAGCGATGAAGCTTCTAATGCTTGTGATTATTGTGGGAAAAAATTTAGGTATCAGCACAATTTAGAAGCTCATAAGAAAACTCACACCGGTGAGCTTCCATATAAGTGCACGGTGTGTGACCACGCATGTGCCCAGAGTTCGAAACTTAAGAGGCACATGAAAATACATAGAACGCCCGAAGATAGAACTAGCAATGCAGGATCGGTGGAAACGTTAGATGGGGAAGAGAGTGAAGAAGAGGAGGAAGAAATGGACGAAGAGGAAGAGGAAGATGTAGACGGTGAAGAAGAGGAAGCTGAAGATTTAAGTGTCCCTAGTCAAGTTCCTCCAAAAAACGCGTCGCCATCAACTTCTCTAGTAGGGGAGTTGATGGATAAATTTGGTCTCAGTAACATTGCGCAGTACAATGAAGCCTATAAACAGGCGTTACAGGAATCTAATTCCGCACTCAAATTACACATGGCTAGTAAAGATAGGGATAATAACAATCGCACTAGTCTTCCTAATCCACATAAACTAAGAGAGGAATACGTCAAATCTTTACTTCCTGGACCACCACCACAACCATTACCAATGTTTGGTCCCTTTGGCGATGCCTACGATACCAACAAGAGGATCAAATTGGAAATGGAACGCAGTGATTGGTGGCTACCAGGATTAAATAGGAACGAGAACAAAACGAGCCCTGGTCCCAGTGCCCTTTTACCAGGGCCCCTTTTGAAAAAGGACAGTCGAAGAAATGACACGTGCGAGTTTTGCGGCAAGGTGTTTAAAAATTGTTCAAATTTAACTGTTCATCGGCGCTCTCATACCGGTGAGAAACCGTATAAATGTGAACTTTGTTCTTACGCTTGTGCGCAAAGTTCGAAGCTAACCAGACACATGAAGACGCACGGACGTTTAGGTAAAGACGTCTATAGATGTCGCTTTTGCGAAATGCCCTTTTCGGTACCTTCGACGTTGGAGAAGCACATGCGCAAATGCGTGGTGAACCAGGGAAAGGCGCACCTGCTTCCCAACGTTCCCATGTTATCTGGGGATGAAGACTCTTCGACTAGTATCGCTTCTAAGGAAGCCTCATGACTCTTCTCGTGGGGTGGTTTACGTTTACCACCGCCACCACCTCCACCACCGAGTCTTACGTACTAGTCGAAAAGAACTTTAGCCAAATGCGGTGGTCAAAGTTTTCTTAAAAATGTTACCAGTTTTATTAGCTTCTACTTAGGTTAATCCGTACGAACGCATTTTATTTTTTAGCTTTATATATTCTACTTATTGTAAATGTATGTATACATGTTCCTTACTTTTTTCACAAGTTCCATTCCGTGATCCTGTGGGAGAAGCATTTTGGTAATTTTATTCCATTTTTTACGGTAATACTGTTACGTATGCCAGTAATTGATCTAAGGAGGAGCTTTATAAATGCAGTACAATTGACCACTATTAATTAATATATAATATAAATATATTCAAATGTTATTTTCATTATTACGTAGAATCAATGTAACTGATACCAAAGCATTGTATAATTTTGATAGTTATTACCATTAGCTACTATATGATTATTAGTTATTATTGATCCCTGTACATTTGTATTATTTAGTTTTAGGTTGTTGTTTGAGACTGAAGGGCTCAGAGACTGTTGCGCAGCTAACTTTTAATATCAATTAGGTTGGTTGTTAATCTGTCTTAAGGGCCTACTGTACATTCCCACACCATATCACTATTGGCCAGTTATATTCAACGTGTACATAGTATTTATTGATTTCTATTCCACTTAACTAGCTCGAATGGAACACGAGAAATGACACCGAAAGATGAATTAGTTAAACTGAATCAATGCAGTGAAAAAGAAATTTCAATTATTATCAATTATTTTGATTTTATAAATTTTCGAAAAAGTTGGAAAGAATATACATGTATTGTTTCTTTATTTTGTTTTAGGATAAATTCGTTGAAATTTGTTCGTATTTTGTTGTATTTATATCTATTATCTACATGTAAACATTATACATAATTAATTCTTTCGTATTTTTTCGATAAGTTTATGAAATTAAATAATTCGTAATAGTAGACAAAAATTTTGTTGAATTATTTTTTTCTCTAAATGGTACACTAGTAGATGTACATATACAAATACAATTTCTTTGTCGTGTTCCAGCAGAGCTGTAGTTGTTCCGTGATCTTCGGATTATCTGTACAAAACAAACACAAAACGAAATTGATGCAAAGAGCCTGTTACTTACCAATTTTAGTTTTATCTCCTAATTAATGTTTTTGAAGTTGTTGTTGGTGTTAGGAGCGGGTGTGTTGTGTGTCTGTCCACAGCATCGTCGCGTCTCGTTCTTCTGACGAGATTGAGGGTAAGCGAAAGAGATAATAAAAGCTCTTAGACATGTACATCGCCCGCATGTAAATTAGTTAAACAATAGCTGAGAAGTAAAGTGTAAAAATAGGGCATATCCGTTTCCTCGTCGTAAAATATTCCTGAACACGTCTCGTAATGCAATATTAGTATTTAACAGCGGACCAGGGTCTTGGTATTGCCTCCTGTTGTGGGCATTCTGTATTGTGTGTGGACGACGACGACGGGGGTGGATAAAATCTAAAACAAAACCCTTCAAGCACGTCGTCGACCACCCTGACTGTATTTCTTGTAATAACGTTAAAAAAAAAGATTATGTTATTTTTTATTTATTTTAAGCTATGGCTGTAGCATTACGGCGTTCGAATTGGGCTGCACATTTCATCACTGTATCCATGTGTTCCTATGCCGAACTCCATATTTCAGTGTTTATTATTAATAAAGTGCATTACCACTTCATACTTTTTATTGTTCCAATAAATACACATATTAAATGAATTTTGATTTCTTACCTTTCTTTTTAACATCAACATCGACTTATATGCACTATTACACCTACCTCGACCAATCCATATTTTATGAATAATTAATAAATTAGTGTCATACGTTTTTATTTGTCCAGCCGATGCGACGGCAACAAGTCTGAGTTATTTATACCATTAAAAACAGATTAATGATTTCAGGATTGTAAATCTATTCGAAATCGTAAAAATTTTCAAAAGGTCAAAATTTAGAGCTTTCAGCGTATCAATCTCAATCATTCGGATGGAATTTAAATATCCATTAAATCTAATTCCAATCGCAGCTACTCTTTTTTGATTAAAGAAATGTCGAACAAGTTATTAATATAAAACAATTTATATTTATTTTCGTTAAATAGAATAGGATTAGAATGATCAACTTCGATGCTATTTAGTTTTTTTAAAAATCCATATGGAAAACAGACAATAAATGGTATCGAGTTAAAAGTTATTGCTAATANCACTGTGTAAAGCCATTTATATTTTGAGAACTACTGGAAAAAATCATTTCAGACAACCGTTGGTGCTAATAGAAGGGGTCGAATCTTGCATTACATGCATGAAGTTAATGAGGTTTCTCATGAAATTCACTGGGGCAGTTTTTAACATTTTAAAAATAGTATCGGAAAGAAGTTTCCAATTTTCGATACCTAAAAATTCATATAGCTTAGGATGTGGTAGGCATAGTCGAAAAAGATCATTAAAAGTTTATGTTTAGAGCACGGCTTTGTATAAGTGAGAAACATGGACGGTGAGTGTTTAGAAGCGTTTGAGACAGGCGGATTGTCAAAATATTGAGGAAGTCTTGAAAAATGCAGAAGTTAATAAGAAAAAGGCGAGATAGGATGGTAGGACGCCTGTAAAGACGAAGGTTTAGGTAGAGAGATATTACTTAGAAGCAGAAACATCAGGACCAAAGAGCTGTACCTTAAAGAAGATTAGATAAGATTGTGTTTTTTAGTAGTTGCAAATATGAGAGGCCTAGTTTTCTGGAAATAAATTGATTGGTTCAGGACAGAAAGGGGTAGGAGTGCTTGTCTAACCAGTCATGATGACAACCAATTAGGTATCAAAATTGGTTTATTAGAAAACTGTTCTTTTAAATTGTTAGGTGTATCTAACAAGAAAGGAGTATTATAATTTAACCCTAAATGAATGAAGTGCTAACTAATAGTATTTAGCAATCTTCCCTGATCCTTTTGCACCGTAATAATAAGGAACAAAGAAGTGCATGGTGGTCTGTTCTGTCAAAATTGCCAGGCGCGGATCGCGATGTTGATCTTGTTGGATCTCATCAGCGCGTCGTAGACAGAAGCAGAATCTTCGAACTTGTTGAACGTATTGAATTCCACTAAATGTAGCATTGTATAACTGATGGTGTTTACCGCGCAGTTTATAGGATTTATTAATAAGACTTAACCTAGCGCATCCACCAACTATTTTTTGACGGTCTGGTGTAATCATGATGAAGTATGTTAATATCTATTCAAAGCAATTTGTGGTTCGACCTAATTTGTTAATTTTATTCTAACCCTGTATATACATGTTTGAAATTCAAGAACAGCAATTCGACGAGTGACTTCCATCGTCCCCGTTTCTTTGCGTCGTTGGTTTATTAAAAAACAAAATCGGTTCCCAGATTGATTTACGGAGCCGTCGATAGCAGTTGTCATGGCTGCGAAATTCATAATCGCGTATTGTGTTTCTCAATTCAAAATTGGATATCAGCACGACAGCGGCAAACTGTACCGGGCCCTTCTAATGGATACAGTAAACTTATCGTGAAAAGTCCTTGATATTGGTGTGAGGGCGACATGCGGTTAGAATTCCATTATGAAAATTTATATTCCGTCGAGGATTGAATTAAAATTTATTGTGAACCACATGTCTTGGCATCAACGAACATTACCAAAAGAAAAAAAGAACAGCATTAGTAGATGTCACGTTAAGAAGGTGGGGAAGCACTGCAGAATTGTATCAATTCATTTTCAAATTGTGGTGACTTGTATTATTTAAAAGAAGCGCCTGTTTTCATGAAGGCCGAACAAGAAGTTCGTGAAAGCTCCACGTTTCCCATGACTGGTAATACGTGTTTTTTTTATTAATAACAAAACACTACTGTATGAAAATAAACAAAAGCAAAACAAAAATATACTGGTATTCAAGGCAAGAAAAAGTAGGGAAAGAGCGAATATTAAGATAGAAGACGAAAAATTAGAAGAAGTGGTTGATTTTAGGTATTTAGGAAGTCAGATAAGTCAGGACGGAAGGAGTAGTAAGGATATAAAGCAGAGCGTAATTTAGAATTTCGATAAAGTTTGGAGCGCGGTACTGTACGGGTGCGAAACATGGACGGTGGACGTTGTAGAAAAGCAAAGGTTAGAAGTGTTCGAAATATGGTGTTACAGGCGAATGATGAGGATACCGTGGATAGAGAAGGTTAGAAATGAAGAGGTATTGGAAAGAATAGGAGAACAGAGGACTCTATGGAAGTCAATAAAAAATAGGCGAGANAAAATTGAATCAAATACAACAAAATTTGTATTTAATTTGAGATATTGCTTATTTTTATTTTGTTGTTTTACTTTTAACTCTCATTGTTTCTTGTCAGAAATTAGAACCAAACAAACACCCCCCTATTAGTAATTATTCTAATTTAATTAAACATAACGAATTATTCTATAGTAGTCGAGAACAACCAACGAATTGCATATCATTATTAAGCGGGTGTTTATGTTTCCGGGGTGATGGTTCAATACCTACGGGGAGTGATGTATTTGTCTCCACTCGATCTTAACCTGTCGTCCACAGCGTTTCTGTCCAAAAACACCTCTTCGCCGAATTTCCATTGTACAATAAAGACGCATTTGTGCTTCCATTGTTCACAAATCAACGTGTACTGATGTCGTCTGCATATTCTGTTCGTATATATTGATAATAATAATGAATGTTGTGACGTGTACTCGTTTTCACGGAACTACACATGTGCACTCCTTTTCGCAATATAAATGCGAGCGGGATTAATTCTCGACGGATGGATGATGTGTTTGATGGTGGTGGAGAGATAGATCACAAATATTATGAAGATTGTATCTAGATGTGACGCTAATCCATCAAAGACCGTGTACTTACATCAGAATTCAACAATTCAAAATAAGTTTATTGAAGTCAGTTGAAGCAAATCAAAAGCAAACTTCATCTGAAACGATAATTTAATTTCTTTCCCAATACAGATGACCTTTAGTTATAAAAGGAAAAAATTTGTTGAAGGTCTTATTTTATAAAATCTGTTTGAGAGTTGAAGTAAAAAGGATGCGTGCTTTGGGTTCTGGTCCTTGTTGGAAGAGTTGAATGGTAATAAGGGGTTGTTTATAAAATATTGTCGCAAAGAAGGGGGGAGGAGTAACTACTGCCTAGGGTGAATATAATGATAAAGAGGGAGGGAGTTTAAGGAAATGTGACGTTTGTAGTTCATCAATTTTATTTTAATGTTTTTCTTAACTTGGCATCAGTTCTTAAAATTTTTCATTACGATAGAAAGCCTTTCTCATTACTATTTTTAATCACACGAAATCGTTTATAGGAATGGGGGGGATGGTTTTTGTTAGGTACGTTTCTTCCTTATATTTCTAACTAGCTGACTAACTAAGAGTCAATGAATATCATGTTAATTTTTAGCTAAACATACAATTAATTTCGGATTTTATTAACGTAATAATATGATTCATAGATTCTGTGTTGTCAATCTTGTGGTACTGATGACTGATTGACCGANGACGAATCCAAAAAATTAGAGATCATCAAAATTTGTGCAGCCATTCTTGAGTTATAAATTACCCGACATTGTTTTAAAACAAAGAAATTATTGTTTAATTAATACCTAATTTTTAATTATTTTTAAAAACAAGGTACGGGGTCGGGGTAAAGGTAAAGTTTTCGTTATAGCGTTTGACGCTGAAGAAAGTCTTTGATTAATAGTAAACATCTCTTAAATAACCGCAGTATATTATAAAGTATTGCGTGCATGCTACGTGCAGGTTTTGTATACATTAAATACCTAGACGAATCCTGTGCAGAACAATAAGGAGTTAGTTAAATTCATATTATTCAGGAGAGTGTATAACGAACATACATATGTATGCCATCTTCACCATGAACAACCATTCATCTAATTAACGATTGCTGCTGACTTACGGCATTCACATGGAAGACTTATCGCTCTTACGCTCATTAGGGCTGGAGGATTAATCCATCAAGGAGGCGGCTACGGTGGCATAGCCACTTCCTACTTCATGTCGGTAACAAAACACTTTACCCCACGGCCTATGCTTACGACTAATTTGAAAATATAACGCGAATATTTTGATAATGACCATTATTATTAATTAAATAATCCGAAATTTAAGATTTCATTTTTTTGGAGAAGTAAAGTTATTTGATTTTGGTAGGATTGGTGAAGTTCTTAAAATTGTTACTCTTATTTGACAAAATTGACAACGAGATATTTCTCAATAAACATTACGGGAATTGCAAATCTGCAAATATGTAAATTTTAAAAAGTCGAGATTCTCTAAAGATTAAGGAATTTTTTGTTAAAAAATGGACATTCAACGCAGTAAAAATGTAATATCCTTGTTTTTTAAAGAGAATACTGATTTGACTTTTCAACTCGGCCGGAGACTACCGTACACAATATTAATTCTAGATATGAATCGGTTTTCTATTTGGAAAGTGCTACATATAAACTACAATATAGCTTAGTTTCCACTGCAGTCAAATCATGTTAAATTATCCCCTTACAATGCTCCAATAAATTGTTGCCAAAATCCTGACTGGATAATATGTCTCTCTGCATCAGCCATCGGCAAGTAAACCTTTTTTCATGACGATGATTCAGTAACTTTTATATTTTAATCTAATTGTAAGTAATGTTTAGTTATTGTCGCCAAAAAATGCCTTCGTAGTTTTTGAAAATTTCTTTTTGGTTAGATAATAATATACCGTTAATTTACATGTGGTGTGTGTCACCGAAATAATTTGGATTTAATTATTATTCCTATTGGATTCGCTGTACCTACAGGAGGTTTAAATTAAACACAAAAAAGGAATGGTTTATTCAAAAAATAACAAAAAACAGTTTATATGCACAATTTAAATATAAACATGAACCTACATAAATGTTATAATAGCACATATGATAATACCGAGAAAATGAAAAACGAAAATTTATCTGAATATTAAAGCGATATTTATAATCTATCCCATCAGCCCGTTGCTTCGTAAACTAAAATAATAAAAGTTACAATTTGGACCCAAATATATTACAAAATACCCCCCGCAGATATAAATTTACTAGGTATTTTAGTTGATATTACAAATTAAATTGTAATAATTAAGAAACTTGAAATAATTTTTAAATAAACATGTCAAAATTGAGTTACCAATCTACTATTTCTACGGCAAATTCAGTCATTATAATCGAAAATTGTAATTTTTGCTTTGTTATGAAGATTTAGTTTTCCCCGTGTAAGAAATAGGCGGAATAGGTTGGTAGGACACCTTCTCGGGCATGAAGGGCTAGTCAGAGACATTAGAAGTAGAAACAGGGGTTAAGAGGAGTAAAGGTGGACCTACATTATGTGGGATGTTGTAGTTTTAGATTAGCTCAGGATAGGAAAGAGTTGAGGTGCGTGTCCAACCAGTCTTAGGTCTGATGATCGTATGTTGATAATCCATGTCTATCTGTACCCTTCTTAACTCCTATTTCTGCTTCTAATATATCTCATATCTTTATATTCACTCTCTCTACTTTTTCTTCCCTTACATACCAATATTTATTTTTATTTATTTTCATGTCATCATGTCATGTTTTTTTTAGTTAATGTCACTTCCATTTTATTTAAAGCTATCTCTATTCCTCCTTGCCGGATGGTAATACTAATACTGTATCATCTGCAAATCTAAGCATACCAATCTTTTGCTCCTATATACCTAAAGTTACCTTATCGTTGACGTTTATCGCGTCCTCTATACATGGATTAAAAAGTAGCGTGTCAGTGTGCATCCTTGTCCGACTCTCTTCCTAACATTTAAATATTAAATTCAACACTTTTTGTGTTAGGCTCTGTTACAGCAGTGGGTTTATTTTTTTTATTATTTTGTGAAGTAATTATTCCAGGCCGATGTACGGGAACTTGTGTGCCAACAGTCGCGTTTCTTGTTAATCTATTTTGGTACTTGGTTAAGTAAAAAAATAACTGAAACCAATACTTTCGTGTATTTTCATATTGTTATGCAACCTTGCGCTAATGTTTCATTGCACAAAAGGTGTTTGTCAACACATCATTTAAAGAAAGTAGTTCACATTTTTTTCGTTCGTTTATTTTTAGCGTTTAGGTGTTAATGTGTTCTGGCAGCATGTTGACTTCAAACATTCAAAAGGTTTAGAAAGTTGTGTGGGTGAAGGATCGGTCGGGTTCTTCTTGGAATTTTCTCCTATGCTCGTTCAGAGACTTTAGCATGGATGTATGAATAAATTATGTATTTTACATTTACATATGCAGCCAAGTATTAAACATATACATACATAAATCAAGCGTGTATGAGATTATAAGTCTTCCAATACCTATACATTTATGCAGCATACATACACATAGATATACATTCATACATAAGCATTAGATCGTAGCTAGACTTAGAGACTATTCTTGTAAACAACATGGGATTTACTGCCAAATTGATTGGCGATTTATGCGATTTGGCACACAGTCAAAAATTCCCTGAATTTTTTATTTGTCCAGTGAGCATGATTTTTGCGATTCTAAATTTAGAGAAAATAAACGCACAACTTTATTATTGTGAAATTCCTCGCCCAGTAGTGCTTTGTCTTTTAAACCTTTCGACCTTAAAACTCAATTATTAATGAAAGCAATTTTGTTTATGGTAAACAGTTATGATTCACTGCATTTAGTATGTTCATTATTTTGGTATTTAATCGTTAGGCATAAAGTAGGTATGCAGGCATTCCTGGGCTATTATAAAATTGTAGTCATTTACTGTACAATTTGATTAATGACTTCTCT